GTGTGTGTGTGTGTGTGTGTGTGTGTGTGCATGTGTGTGTGTGTGTGTGTGTGTGTGTGGGTGGGAGGGGGAGAGAGGGAGAGAGGGGGAGGGGGAGAGAGGGAGAGGGGGAAAGGGAAAGAGGGAGAGAGAGGGAGAGGAGGAGAGGGAGGGGGAGAGGGGGAGGGAGAGAGCTGAGTGCAGGCTCCCATGGAGGGTAGAGGTGTCAGATCCCCCAGAGCTGGAGTTTAGCCACCGGGGCACCTGACATAGGTGCTTAGAACTGAACTCAAGTACTCTGTAAGAGGAGCAAACACTCTTAACTGCCAAGCCATCTCTCTAGTCAACTCTATTTTTATGGCTCTGTTATAGCTCCAGCACCAAGAAAGCTCAGAGTATCTATTATTTAAAAATATTAATAAACTGGATAATTACACACACCTATGTTCTCAGCATTTAGAAGGTAGGGGCAAAAAGACTAGATTCTCAAGGCCAGCCTGGGCTACATATATGAGCCCAGCCTTAAATACACGAGACCCTGTCTGAAAAAAAGAACATTAATAAATAAAACCCTACAGTATGCAAGTTTTTGAAACTGCCTTTTGTTCAACATAATGCTTCATGTTCCATCCAACTTGTTGTATATACCAATCATTAATTTATTTTTGTCATTAAGTGATATTCTACACTATGGATATAGAACAGTTTTAGGCATTTGCCCACAGAAGAACATTTGAATGAGAAGGATGCAGTGTCTTACGCTTGTAGTTTCAGCACTCCAGAAGCATAGGCAGGAGGAATTCCATGAACCTACGCCAGCTTGGGCTATACAGCAAACTCTTGTCTCAAAAAATATTTTATTGTTTTACTTTGGGGCTGTGCAAAATAAATATTCCAGAATATTCACGTATAGGTTCCTGTATTTTCATTTTTCGGGGAAATGCTCACAAATGTAATTATGTGGTAAGTGCTTATTTCTTTTTTTTTCCCCAAGAAGCTGCAAACTGTTTTCAATGCAGCTGTAGCATTTTATTTATTTATTTATTTATTTATTTATTTATTTATTTATTTTGTTTTTTTTTTCGAGACAGGGTTTCTCTGTGTAGTTTTGGAGCCTATCCTGGCACTCGCTCTGGAGACCAGGCTGGCCTCGAACTCACAGAGATCTGCCTGCCTCTGCCTCTGCCTCCCGAGTGCTGGGATTAAAGGCATGCACCACCAACACCTGGCAGCTGAAGCACTTTTGTGACACCAGCAATATTTGAGTCCAGCTTTTCTGTATTCTCAACAGTGTTTTGTGGCATCACTGTTCCTTTATTTTAGCCTTTATTTAATCTATTTACTTGTGTATCATGTATCAGATAAACATTTAGTTATCATTTCTCCAGTGATTAATTAAGCTACACATCTTTTCATGCATGTATTTGATATATAAACATCCCATTTTATTAAATGTCTATTCAGGTATTTTGTCTATTTTCTGTTGGCTTCAACTTGGGGAGGATTTGAGACAAGTCTCACCACTGAAGCTCAGTATAGCCTGGAACTTACTATGCAGTTCAGTTTGGTCTTGAACTCATGGCAATGTTCCTGTTTTGGTCTCCTTATTGCTCAGATTGTAAGAGTGAGCCACCATGAACAGGTGAATTAATTTCTCTCCCACTGTTGAAGGAGTTGTAAGACACTATCAGATATGTGATTTCCTGGCTGTGTTTTTCATTCTCCTGAAATGGGATTTTATGGAGCAAGCATTTTTTTGTTGTTTTTGTTTGTTTGGTTGGTTGGTTGGTTTTGCCATGACACACATGTGGAGCTAGAGGACACTTTTAGGAGTTAATCATTTATGTCCTGGGATGCATTTTTAATTTAGATGAGGCCTAAGCTTCTTTTGTAAATTATAAATACATTTTGATTGTATTTTCTCCCTACTGTAACTCCACCCAGAACCTCCTCACCTCCCTATCCACCCGACTTTACCCCCCCTCTCCTTTTCAAAAATAAACACACAAAAAATGAAAATGAAAGCAAAGAGACCAGTAAGGCAAAAAATGTCAAAACAAAGCAAAGTGAAACTAAAACAAAACAAAACAACAACAAAAACCCCATGGAGTCTGTTTTGTGTTGGCTAACTACTCCTTGGCCTGAGGCCTGCCCTGGAGTGTGGTTGATATACCTAGGGACATCACATTAGAAAAACTGTTTTTCCATTTCCCAGCAGGTATCATTGCAAATACATTGCTAATTAGGGGTGGGACTTCGTGTCCACTTCCCCTTCTCAGTGCTGGGATCTTGTCTGGTTTGAATTTGTGCAGGTCTTGTGCTTGCTGTCACCATCTATGTGAGTCCTGTTGTATTCCTAAGATGCTGTTTCTTTCGAGTCATTCACCACCTCTGGCTGTTACAATCTTTATGGCTCCTCTTCCACATAGATCCTTGAGTCTTGAGGTGAGGGATTTGATAAAGACATCCCATCTATGACTGAGTGCTCTAAAGTGTCTTACCCTCTGCTCATTGCCCAGCTGTGGGTTTCATTGTCAATTGCCATCTACTGCAAGAAGAAGCTTCTCTGATGCGGCTTGAGTGAGCATTGATCTATGGGTATAGTAACATGTCTTTATGAGTCATTTTCTTGCTATATTCCAGTAGCAGAATAGTATTATTAGGTTTCCCCCAGGTTCATAGGCTATCTAGTCTCAGGTACTTGAAAATGTTAGCAGCATCAGCTCTGGGTTCTATCTCATGGAGTGGGCCTTAAATCTCACTTGAAAAAGCGGTTGCTTATTCCCATTAGTATTTGTGTCATTATGCAGCACTATGTCTTGCAGGTGAGTTGCTGTTGAAGGTTACAGGGTCTGTAGCTGGGCAATATTGATGATAATCTTTTTGTTCTTAGCATGTACAGTACCTTTCATGTTAGTCAATAGGGGTGAAGCTTCTAGTTAGGATCCAGCTTGACTTCTACATGTTCAATGCCATAAATAGATGTCTTCAGCAATAACACCTTACCATCAGATTGTGGAGAGTAACCAATTCTGGCTGATATTTTTAATTGGCTATTTTCCTGGTTGCATTTCTTTCTATTTAGGGAAGGAGTTGACATCTTTTGTCCCCTCTCCCTCCAGCCCCCACTCTGTGGCAGTGTCTCAAATTTGTTGTGTTCAATCTGACACATTCCAATATGTAGAAAAAATGATCAAGGCTTCCATAGATGGTCAGTTGCTAAAAACACTTACTGGACAAAGTCTGAGCCAATGGTAAAAGGAAAGGATCAAATCGTAGAAGTTGTTTCCACACATCACACACACACACACACACACACACACACACACACACACACACACACACCGCATTCACTCATGCATGCACACACACACATACAAATACACCAATAATAAGAAGAAAGAAAACAGAATCCAAAGCTGGGCATGGTGAGACAGGCCTATAATCTGAGCACTTAGATAGGGGAGGATGGCTGGGCGTTGGTGGCACATGCCTTTAATCCCAGCACTCAGGAGGGAGAGGCAGGGGGATCTCTGTGAGTTCGAGGCCAGCCTGGTCTCCAGAGCAAGTGGCAGGATAGGCTCCAAAGCCACACAGAGAAACCCTGTCTCGAAAAACAAAAACAAAAAAAAGTGGAGGTTGGAAGATTAGGAGTTCAAGGCCAGCCTTGATCACGTAGTGAGTTTGATACCAATGGGGAGCTACATTGAGACTTGTCTCAAAAAAACACAAATAAATAAATACATGCATGTAATATAAATAAAGATAGCCATTGCATTTATATAGGCAAATGAAACATGACAGATTTGGCCAGTTGTTGACTTTTTGTAGTGGGTATGAAGAAGCTCGTCATAGCATCCCTTTAACTCTCATACACCCTGGAGCCTGGTGAGGTTTGTCCATTTTCCTCCTTTCTGCTGGTTGTAGTGCAAACATGGTTCCTTAAGCTCTTTTTTAAAATTCACAGTCATCTTTCTAAAAAGGAAAAGAAAAGTTCATTGGGACATAATTTATATACTACACAATTCAGCTATTTAAAGTGTATAGTTTGGCAGCTTTCTATATAGTTGTGCAACCATCACCATGTCATTGTTAAAGCATTCTTGTAACCCGTTTCTCCAGCCCGTCCACCTTGCCTCAGCTCTCAAGGACTATGATCTTAGACATGTACCACCATACCAAAGCTTTCGTTTCTTTCTGCCTTCCTTCTTTCCCTCCCTTGTTCTCTCCGCTCCCCTGCTCATGGGTATGGGCATAAGTAAAAATTTAGAAATCTGAACTATCAAGTAGTCAATAGAAAATCATAACATCTTTGTGGGGTTGCAAATATGTACAGTCATTATGGGGAATGATTTGGAGGTCTGTACAAGGTCAGGGTATTGTAGTGGGAGAGATGGAAAAAAAAAGATGTTGCAATTCATGATTCAGGAAGCAGAGCATTTTATGTGATGACAAGGTACAAGATGTAACCTTGCAATTAGTTTGCTAAAGTGACGAGTAGGTGTTCTTTGAAGATAATGAAGTAAATCTGTTTAGATGCAAGAAGGCTGAAGACACCTTAGAGCAATTTGAAAAGGAAAAGTTTAGCATAAAGAATGAGCAGCCAGAGAGGCTGAGGAAATGTGCTCGGCAGGGAAAGTGCTTCCCATGTAAGTATGAGGACCTGGGTTCAATCCCCACAACCCACAGAAAGCTGGGTGTGGTGATGCTATGTGGCTGCAGGCTGGGTTTTTTTTTTTTTTTTTTTTTTTTTGGTCAACTTGACATAAAATAGAGTCACCTGGGAAGAGGGAACTTCAACTGAGCAATTGCCTTCATCACATTGGTCTGTGGGGCTGTCTGCTGGGGGCACTTTCTGCATTACTGAGTGAGTGACAGGAGGGCTCAGTCTACTTCTGGGAAGGTAGTCTTGGGCTGTATCATAAGCAAACTGAGCAACGCACTGGAAGCAAGCTAATAAGCAGTGTTCCTCTATGGTCTTTGCTACAGTTCCTGCCTTGTGTTTCTGCCTTGGCTTCCTGTTATGGTGGACTCAAACCTGTAATATGGAATAAGCATTTTCCTCCCCACTTCTTTTTGGTCATGACTGTATTTCCGCGACAAAGGAGCAAACTGGGACAGCTGTAACCCTGGCTTCTGGAGATTCCAGGCACGTAGTTTCTGGGTCTCACTGGCTAGGTGGGTGAGTCAAAACAAGGGGACCTAGGGTCAGTAAGAGCCTTTGTCTCAAAAATTAATGTGGGGATCAATCGAGATTGCTATCTGAAGTCTAACCCTGGCCTCCACAAGTATAAGTGTAGTTACACACACCTGCCCACGTACCTGCACACATATGCATACCACACATACAAAGAGGACACAGCCATGTGTGGTGCTTACCTACTGCAATCCAGGACTTGGGAGGTAGAATTCAAGTCTTGCCTGACTACATGAGATCTTATTTCAAAAAGCAAAAAACAAAGGTAGGTATGGTAACTAGCCCCCATAATCCCAGCACGGAGAACTGAATTCCTCATGTTTATACAGCAAACACTATATCCACTGAGCTGTCTCCTCAGCTCCTCTGGCTTCTAATTGTTTTTAGACAGGGTCTCATTATGTAGCTCTGGTTGTCCTGCAACTCACTATGTAGACTTGAACTCACAGAGATCCACCTGCCTCTGCCTCGTGGGTGCTGGGATAAAAGGTGTGTGCCACCGTGCCTGGTTTTGGCTGCCAATTCTTTTTTTTTTTTTTTTTTGGTTATTTGAGACAGGGTTTCTCTGTGTAGCTTTGGAGCCTATCCTGGCACTTGCTGTGTGGAGACCAGGCTGGCCTCGAACTCACAGAGATCCGCCTGCCTCTGCCTCCTGAGTGCTGGGATTAAAGGCATATGCCACCAACACCCGGCTTGGCTGCCAATTTTTATGTTTAACTTTTCCTTTTAAAATTCTTGTAGGGTTTCTTCATCCTTATTGAGCTTCTACTGATTCACTTTGCTAGTCTGAGGGTTACATGGGCTAAAAATTTAAGAAGCTAACAGTATAGAAGATTAGAGACTTGGGTGTTGAAGGACTGGCTAGATGTAAAAGTCATAGTATACGGAAGAAGTAAAGGAAACTCTGAAAGAATGTCGGACTAGCAGATTAGTATAGAATAGTAGATATGATAAACATAATGGGCCATAGCCAATGCCCCTAGGACTGTGATGACCTCCCTTCCAGCCATAGCTGAGACCGAGGCCTTGCTAGAGATCTTGAACAATACTGAGCCAGTAGAGTGTGCTTGGCCATCTGTGGTCTGCAACCACCTGAAAATCTGGGGTGCTTGTTCACAATGGGGGTGTCTCACTTGACACTTGGCTACAGAACCACTCCAGGGTTAGGTCAGGGAAAACTGCTCCCCACCATACATCAAAGCAGCCAGAGCTACAGAAGGGAAGCGTGAAGAAAGCTGGAGCCCAGCAAGAGCCTGTGGAGTGAGGATGTTGCGACCGCCTCCACCAGCAAGGAAGATGCAACGCTGAGACTCTTCCTTAAGCAGTTCACTCAGGAAACTTAAACAATCTTCTGACCCTGGGGAAAGACCCCCCCACAGCTTAAAAGCACTCTTGCCAGCCAGCCCCAGAACGCCATGTGGCTAAGGCGGATAGGCTCTCATTTGCTGATGCAAGTTTGAATCTTAGACCAAGCCAAATAAGGAGTTGTTTATTCCAGAGAGCGCTCACCCTCGGGATGGTGGAAGGTGGAAACCGGCGCCATCTTCTGGCGAGGCGCATCGCAGCTCTCCACAGTTCCCCCTTCTTTATTAAAAAACAGAGCGGGTGAAGATAGAGGCCCGATCCCGGTGTGCAAACATGGGATAATGTATTGGTGACACACTCAAACTCTACGCCTGCGGTGACCCAAACCCATCCCGTACCTATTTTCCCAGGGGAAGGATCTTGGGTACAACCTTCATGCAATCGGGCTTGTCTTCTGAGGGCAGCCTAGCCGCATACAAGCAAACCCTCGTGCAGTGCTTAGCCTCACACCCCGCTTAAGAGAGCATTTTAGTGGCCAACCAGGCCTGGGGGGACTGCCCTGCCTCTATGGCAGTAAAGGCTTGAATAATCATAGCTGCATCGCGCTTTTGCGTAGCTCTAATCCTGCATATACACCACAGGCAGACCAGGGAGACCATAATCAAGAGGCCTGCTAATGCTCCCATGCCCACCCACTCTTTGAAATGATCCATGGCGGAGTTCAACCAGGAAGTCAGGCTGCTCGCAAGGGATAGGTCTATTCGGGTGGAATTCACATGCACGATAGCCAACCTGAGTTCTCTCATGGTGTCTTCAAACTCAGATGACCAATTCTGTAATAGAAACTGAGACAATCTTTTAAACTTCGATTGGTGGTAAAAAGGCGTGGGAAAACCCCTGCATTATACATCACCGGCATAGGTCTTGGGAACACTGACAGTATCCCCGGTGTGCAAACATGGGATAATGTATTGGTGACACACTCAAACTCTACGCCTGCGGTGACCCAAACCCATCCCGTACCTATTTTCCC